ATAAGCTTTCAAATAAATTAAAAACGAGAAAAATCCGTTGTGAAATGCGAGACATAAGTTGTTAAAGGTGATTATGTCGATTGTAGATTGCGTTTTTTTTGCACTTCAGAACGGTCTAACTTTGCCGCTAGCGCACTTTTTGACTTAAACTTTCTCGATTTCGAAATCTGGTAACAAGTGCTACAAGTCGGCAAAAAATGAAAAAAATCTGAAACGTCGAGGTTCATACTTGTGCGATTTGGCGTGGAATGACCCAATATATTTCTATATAGCTGTATGTAGTATTATATATTATATATGTCTCAGAAATTTCTTAAATTTTGCTACTTAGTAGAGTTAAGGGCAAAGTAGGAGAAGCCGGAAAAATAGTCGGAAAAGTGAATTTCCCGCGAAGTTATGCAACATCAAATTTGCAAACTTTGCCAGGTTGTCAATTTACATGCAGATCTTTGCAGATTGGTAATTTAGGTCGTTTAGACCTACCATGTCCTGAGCTTACAAATGCACATTTGTTTTTTTGATTCTGTTAGAAAATAAAAAAATGAGCAAAAAATTTCGCACAAAATATATCTTTTTTGAAAAATTTAAAACTTTGTTTTTTTTTTTGTTTGTGCGAAATTTTGTTTTTTTTGTATCAATGCGATTTTTTTGAAAAAACTTTTTTTCAAAAATAAATGTGCATTTAAAAGTTCAGGACATGGACATGACAAATCTAATGATCAAAAAAGCATGAAATTCTATTTAAAACGAGCTAAATTACAAGTCTGCAAAGACATGACAACGTGGCAAAGTTTGCAACTTTTGACATTAAATGGCCCGTCACATATTATACATTATATATTTTATATTATATATTATATATTATATATTATATATTACATATTATATATTATATATTATATGTTATATGTTATGTATTATGTAATATATATTGTATATTATGTATAATAATGTATATTATGTAATATACTACATACTATGTATTCATAATGCGACTTTACTACAGTACTACGGTAACTAGTTCCACTTGAAAAAATAAGAATACTTTTAGAAAACTGGTTAGTGTTAAATCATTGCTGTATTAGAATTTCAATATAAAAAACCTGCAAGACAACTGTTTTCCCTATTCTTGCTTTTCTCCCTTTCCCTTCTCCAAAAATTACCCCTACAGCAACTTCCTTTAAGCTTTTTTCATATATTAAAAAATCGCGTTTCTTTAGTTATTTCATTAAAACCGTTTTTTTTACATTATTGCCCGGCAAACCCCCTTTTTTAAAGTATTTATTATCTACGATACGTACCCCTTGGAACAACAACAAAAAAAAATTTGTGTGGATAAAAACAAAATTACAACAGTTAATGAGTTACGAAGTAACATCTGAAAATAAAAGTCCTCCGACATATCCGGCAATATCTCAGAAGAATGTTTACTAAACAGCGGTAAATTAGGAGTACAAAAAGACTGAACATCTGCAAACAAAACGACATTAACAATACATCATGCACACAATCTAAACAAAAGTTAATGACACCTTTACAGAAGTAATTTGGATAGCACTCGGCTGCCTTTTTAATACACAGTGGCAATGAGCCAAAGCCGTTAAAGTTCCTTCAGAAGAACGCTTCTCCGCTCGCAAAAATTTCCACAGCAAATTGGAAATGACAATGTCTATAGAACCTGCAGCTCTCAATTATTCTTTACGAGGAACGCCACATTTACGAGTCTCTGCTTTGCTGGCTGCTTCATGCAGCGGATATCAGGAAATGTGATAACACAGTGAATAACTGCGAGGAAAACCGCTTTTATTAAGGAATATTTTTTGTGTACATAGACCATAAAATTGAATGAAAAACGCTGTATCAGCATTAAGCTTTGTTTTTAACTAGAAGGTAGAATGTTCACCTTATTTAACTTTGGCTGGTGTTTCTAATATCATTGATATTACAGAGTACTCAGGATTAGAAGAAGGTAACAGTATATTAGTTGACTTATTCATTTAAGGAAGCAGCTGGATAACTACGAAACTTTTCTATCGAGTTGAAATAACAGCTAATGAAGTAAAAAAAAATAAATAGGAAATTAAAAAGTCGGAGGAAAAGAAAATTTCCTGCTGAATAGACTATACTCAATATAAGAAAGAATTTGGCAGGTAATGCCAAAACCAAGGCAGTCAGTCTAGAAAAAATTGTTATACAAAAGTAGAGGAAAGTAAACTGACATTAATTCTACTTCGTTGCATAGTTATAAATGAGGGATTGCAACATCACTTTCTAAAGTTTTACTGAAATGAAACTTCTGCAGTACTTTATCAGTCTTTAAAAAAATAATGGAAAGCTTTGAAAGAGAAATTTTTGCAGGAGAACTGATAACACTAGAATATTGATGTACACCTATATCATTAAAAAGCAAAATTAATATTGCAAAAACAGAAAATTAAAGAGTTCTTTGACACCCGAATAGAACTGCAAAATTAAAGTTGGTAGCTGTTTAGAAACAGGAATCGAACAGCTGCCTTAACTCCAAGCAGGTAGTTTTCTGGAAATACTGCCTTGCAAATGCACAATTTTTTTCCACCCACTCGCCCGGATTTTGCATTTCGTAGATTCTTGCAAAAGTTCTAATAGCCTCGCATTGTGAATGATGGACCTCTTCTGCTCGCTCCTTTAACTCTCCATTTTCCTACAAAATTTCAATGTGAGCTTAAGTAAAGAGTTGGTTGCAGTGACTACTACCTGTCTTATTTTCCTCACTAATATTACATTGACTTCTTTTTTAGAAAGTTATAAAGTTATCAAACCAGCTTTGACGATTTTGGGGTCGTCACGGCGGGCTCTTTTTCCACCACGAAAGCCGAGCCAATAATGCGTGAACCATCTTTTCTCAATTCCGATATTTCTGGTTGGGAAGTCTGAGCCCGAATTTGCTTTAAGCGCTGTGTTCTTTCCTGCTCCTCTCGCTCCATTTTCTGTTTTTCAATCATTTCTCGCTGGTGTCTTTCTGTCTTCGTCAGCTCTTCAAGTTGCCTATTTATCTGCTCTTGGCGCTCCATTTCCGCTTTTAGAGCAGCGCCCCTCTGAAGGTCATGAAGCTTATTAATTCTTTCGTTCTCCTCTCGAAGTAATCGGGCCTTAAAATAGTCATTTTTCCCTTATTTCCACAAAATTTACTTGAGTAGTAAATTCAACAGAGGACTTTTTGCTACTAACCCAATGAAACAAAACTTAAAGTTTTTGAAATGAAAGTAGAAAAGTCTATGTATTAGGCTGCCTTACAGCATTTGTTAAAAAGTTTTGTGAGAATGAACAGGTATTTTTCCCCCTCTAAGACTTTTATCGCTGAAGAACTTCAACTAAATTTTTCAATGTTTTAAATGGCCAGTTTCCTGCTAAATTTAACTTAGGTTTCTGAATACCTAATACACCAATCAGATTCATAAGCTTATCATTTGACATCAGCCCGATGTGATCTAACCTATTTGCTCTACCGAGTCACCAACTGTACATCAGAATTCTT